AGTGCGTGACAGACGTACACACAGACACACGGACACACAGACAACCCCTCGTCAATATGCGTTTTCTGCATTGCATAGCTGCAAAAAACCCATAAAAACTAACCTGGATAATTGTGGTACCAGTCCCATCGTGAATAGTTTCACATGAGCTGCTTTCGTCTAAACAAATAGAGAACGTGTAAGGGTACTGTTTCAAAATCTAGGTGCCGTATTATCAATATAAGCGAAATTTGAGTGCTTTTTCAAAATAACAACAAAAACTTTGATACTTCATGATATAACTGAAAGCATTTATGAATTGTATCAAAATTTCTGACTGTTTTCTTATTTTCTTAGGAACTTACAATTTTGTTTTCAGGTCAACTTGTAGAATCGGAATCTGGAAGAGTCGCACATTTCCGTTTCAGGAAGCTGCGTTAAATATTTTTAGTATTTTTTACAAAAACTGTAGCCTCCTTACGTTAAATTTTTTGGCAATATGGCATCACTTTGATTTGATTAGAATGCCTCCGTCTCATAAAAAAAGTGAAATACGAAAAATTTTCCGAATACTAATAGCTTAGAACTATTAAAACTGTGATTTTTCAGTAACACTACACATTTCGATTGAATTAAGTTAATTGCAGAAAAGAAGACTCATTGCCCATTTTCACTTCCCTTCTTGCCTTCACCGCTTAAAAACCCATTGGTATGGTGATTTCCTGAAAAAACTTGAGTTGAACGCTGCTAGTCAGCAAACCATGCGCTGTTGATGGTTCTGCTTCATAGTCGTTTTCCCGGCTTGTTTTTGGTTTTGGTGCAGTACGGCGGCTTCTCAGTCGCGACTGAAACATTTTTTATTTTTTTTTCTCATTCGCTGACCAGTCAGTTTGTTTTGCTCATAAGCCCATTATGATCATGGAAATTCAGTTGTAGCACGCATTAGCAACACCCGTACTTTATAGCATTGAAGAATCTACAAAGCTCCAAGAGATGAGCGGCAGTGGTGCCAAAAAAATTATCAGCTGCCCATGAGTAACAAAATATCAACCGTGGTGTAGAAATTTTAGGCAGCCTGTGGCATTTCAAGTTGCTAGCCATGCTATCCCAGTTTTGATATCCTGGAGCAAAATCTACAGTTTGCTTAAAAATATTCCTAGTGACCTAGAACAGCGCTCTTTTTCTGCTTTTACTCATCATTTCCCTTAAAAAAGAAGCGTAAATTTAAAAGGAATCGGCACTGAAATAATCCTGCTTGGCAAAAAAAGGAGTAGGCGTGTCATTCAGTTTGAGTATTACGTACCTTTGGATTTTGACCTAATTTTTCACATTTTTCCTCTCCTCTCTTCCAGTGCAAAAAAAAGGACCTCATACTACTTATTTTGTTTTTGCAAAAGTGTGTCACTTAGCCCAGTGCCCAATTGGCTTTACAATTGCAAGAAACTATAAACAAAAACTTTTAGCCTATGTGCTAT